AAATATTTTTATAATGGTAATAGAATATAATAGGACTTTTTTAATTTATTTGATTTTATTTTTTATACTTTCAATTTTACATTAATTTAAATTTATTATATTTCTTGCCACTGACTTTATTTATCTTATTTATGTTAGGAAAATTATGGAGAATCCAGTCGCTGACAAAAAAAATTCTAAAAGAGGTAAAAGAGGGGCCACATGACTTACTAAGTTGGCTCAAATTCATGGAAAAATTCACCTTGATTTTGATGATAATGGCCAACTAATTGATAACAAAAAAGGAAACATATTTAAAAGTTTTGTGGGTTTGATGGCAAGTAAAAAAATCAGCATCTTGGAGGAAGAGTGGGATGATGTCAATGAAAGTGACAGAAATGATGTTTGGGAATCTATACTGGTATTTCCTATTGCTATATGTTATATCTATTTTTTAAATATATGTTGTTATTAAATTCATTATTGATATGTATTATTTTGTAGATTACTTATGACATCAAGGAAACTTCATTTTTAAAAGACAAGTGATTAAAGTATGTTGGGGATCGATAGAAGGATTTTAAATCCAAGCTTACTAGAAAATATTTCTTTCCTAAGAATGACAATGAAAATGATGATAGTGACAATGATGCCAACATAAAAAAACCTTGGAAGAAATATCCATTTATTGATTATGACATGTGGATAAAATTTATTCACAGTAGACATGATCCCAAGTTTTTAGTGAGTAAAGGAAGAATATGATAATTTATTTAATGTCAGTGAAGATTTATTTTTAACAAATTCTTTTCATTATTTGTTAATAGGAAAAAAGTCAAAAAGGTCAAGAGCATCGAAAGAAAAATCTATACAACCATACTATGTCTCGAGGAGGGTACGCATATATTTATGATATAATGAATCAAGAGAAGTGGGAAGCTAAAAGACAAGCGGTGGGAGCTGATAATATTGAAGACGTTTCTCCTTCATCTCTTGTTAATCGTGCTCAAGCATGGAAGATAGGACAGATGAATAAAAAGGGAGAGTTTATTTCCCCAGAGGCTAGAGAAGTAGCTGAGAAAATTGTAAGTATTTTTACAGTTAATATCTTAATCATATAATTGAAACTTATTATTTACATCAATTTCTACTAGCTTGCATGTTCTAGGATGCTCTTATAGAAGCATCATCCGAGGGGACCTTTGTGTCTACTGGTAGAAAGGACATATTGACCATGGCCTTAGGGAGTGAAGAGCACTTCGGCTGTGTTAGGGGGGTTCCTAAAGGTATGGGTATAAGATAATATTTTAGACCTCCACTTTCTAATCTTGTACCAATCCAGCAAGTGCAAATGATGATAGCAGAATGCAAGTCAAGCATGATGATGGAAATGCAATCAATGATTAGTAATTTGCAAATACAACCACAACAAACATCGAATTATGTTGGTGCTACAGAGCCAGTGTGTGATCTTAGTTTATCAGATCAAGGAAAGCCATGCATACTTTATGTAAAGGATCATGGCAAACGAGTAGTTGCATATGGAAAGGTGTATAACCATGCAACTACAGTCACAATCAATAGATATAAGATAACTAAGTAAAGGTGATGGTTGAAGAGGTTGTGGATGCTAATGCTCCTGTACTATTTCCTACTAAGGAGATGGAAACAACAGGATAAGCTCAACATAATTTCATTATTTGGTTGAAAAAGCTAGTCCGACAAGTTAATGAAGAGGTATGAAAATGTTATAATTTTTTATTTTTTAATTAATAATATAGGTATTTTTAATTTTTATTATATGTTAATTATAGGAACTCTTACAATCAAAAGAATCTTTGGATTCCAATCCCCAACCGATGCAAGATGACTTGAAATGATTGGCTTTAGTGGTGGTTGACATAAATGAATTTTCAGATGAAATTAACATAATCGAAAAGATTATTAAGAAGCCTATTACTTTTAGAGTTGCCAGAAAAGATATTAGTGACCTCATTATTTTTGAGTGATTGGACTTGTCAATAATTCAAGTTTTTATCATGTAAGTATTTTTTTATTTCTAAATTAATATTTGATATTTTTATTTTATTACTAATATATGTCTAATTATCAAAGCTACCTTCACAAGATATGCACTAAACTCAGTGTTGATGAGAATTATGGGTTCTTATCTCCACTTTTAACCTCCATTGGCAAAGTGAATCAAAGAGCTTCTTGTATTGAAAAGACGATGTGTAAGCAAAAGAAGACATGCTAGTTTTTACCAATTATTGAAAGGTATCAAATTTTAAATTCATTGTTCAATTTATAAAAATATTTGCTTAATAATGTGATATTAATATAAATTAATATATTGTAGTCATCATTGGATGCTTCCTGTCATTTGCTTGTATGAAAATACTATATACTGGTTTTGTTCACTGAAAAGGAACGTAAACGATGACATGAAGTCTTTGATTGGATTGTAAATTTTTAAATAATTCCATTGTGTTATTAATAATATATATTTAATATTTTCTAAGTATGTATATTTGATAAATAGATCTTTAGCGACATATTGAAAATTAGCGAGAATGGTTGACAAGAAAAAAAAATTGAAATCAAGTTTGTACTAATGCAAGTATGTATTTCAAATTTATTCCTTAATTAAAATAAAGATTATAATATTGGTTTAATGAATTTAATTATTTTTATTTTCTTTATAGTGTCCTCAATAACCAGGAAGTATAGAATGCGGTTATTATGTGATAATTTTTATGTATGAAATCATCACTCAAGGTATTGTTCACTCATTTGATCAGGTAATAATTTATAAATAATGATTTATAATTATGAAGTTTTTCATATACTTGAGTTATTATTCATACATATATTGTTATTAAATTTGCAGCACTTTTAAAGTTTAGAGCCATATTCTAAGCAAGAGTTGAGACATATATGCAATTTATGGTCTAGTTTTTTAGAATTAATAGGATTAGAGTAGAAACTTTCTAGATATTTTGTATTGAAAATGTAAGTTTAGTTCATGTACCAGACATATTTGTATTGGTCTTTGGAGTTGCTGTTTCTTAATTAATGCAGGTTTTGTAAGTAAGGGAATGTATATAAATATAAGTGTACGAGTAAAAAAAAATGTATTTACGGCCACAGTTGTTACACTAACTGTGATAAAAAGCCATTTATGGTAACAATTGTTGATAGAACTGTGGCCATAAATGAGCTCTAGAATAATTTTTTGCCACAAGTGGTCTCAGACCTATGGCGAAAAATTATATTTTTCACCACTATATTTTTCGCCACAGGTCAGATGGCACTTATGTTGAAAATATTATATTTTGCCACAGTTTCTTTTGACCTATGGTGAAAAATGTCTATTTACTACCATAAAATTTTTTACTACACAGCACCTTCTATCGCCAAAAATGCATTTTAACTATGGCGAAAAATAATTTTTGCACTAGTGTTGGTGTATAATTTTCTTATAAAATTGTCATTTAAAAATAAAAAATAATTAAAAAAGTAAAATGTAAAAAAGAAAGTCAATTGCATTACTTAAGAGTTATTGTAAATTAAAAGTAAAAAGAAAAATTTAATTAAACTAGCTAGAAAAATAAATAATTATGATTTAATGTATGATTATCTATATTTTTTTATTTATTCTTATATATTTTTATATTTTTAAAAAGTAAATAACTTAAGAGTTATCATTTTATTTTTTGTTTAATCCAATATTTAACATTTTAAGATATTAATTTTGTTGAATTCAGCTAATCTAATTTTTCAATTAAAATCCCAATTCCAATACTGGTAGGGAAGAGGAAGATGAGAAGAAGATCATGACTGAGGTGTTAAAACTTCTATGTTTAATTTTTAGAATATATGAAATATATTTATGTTATGCTATATGATTTTTTCTTTGATAATATCTTGAGACATAAAATGTAATGTAAAAACAAATTAAATCAATGACTTTACTTAAGAGTTATTGTTAATTGAAAGTAAATTCAAAACCATATATAAACTCATAATGTAAACACATAACACAAATTTATATAAATATATAAGCAAGTCTTATGCATTTAGATTTATACATTTAATATACTTTTTTTAATCAAATCAAGATGTTTTGATAAAATTAAAAGTTTAAAAGTCAAACTTAACAGTTAACTAACAGTCATGTATATAGAAATGAAATCTCAAATATACAAAGAAGGTTTATCTAACTTATATTTTATTTTTAATGGAGAGGTTTGTGTAGTTATATATTAATCATTTCCATTTTGGTAAAATTAAAAGCTTATAAGCCTTTTCTTATTTTTAATAAAAATGCTAAAAGTGATTTATAAACAATAATTAAAAGCCTTATGTGATGCTCCCTCTGTCCCTATTTATAATATATTTTTAATTGAATCATGCAAATCAATAAAAATTGGTTATCTAATTAAAAGCATAATAACATTTTAATTTTGCCCATAATTATTGTAAATAAAAAATGAATCTCTGTTTCTAAAGTAAATTAATAAGAGTACATATTTTTTTTTTCTATTCAATTTCATAAAAGTATAATAATTTATTAAAAAATACTTAGGAACAAAAAAATAAAAAGTTCTAGAAGACTTTTTATATGTAGAGACGGAAGGAGTAATTGATAGGACATACACAGAAAGTTTTGAGTAAGGGGGCATGTATGATATATACCTACCCTACCCCTATATATATATATATGTATGTATGTAAGGGATAGCCGAAGTAATTGAATGAACGCATAGATTTTCTAAAGAATACAGAAGTGGATTTTACTAATTGCCATCAACATCATGCCATTATAGTGCAACGACCTTTATAGCAACATTATCAGGTGCAAGCCAATTAGTGGCTTGATTATATCCCTTCAACCAATACGCACATAATAACATTACCGAAGTAGAAAAACGGACACAAGCACAACAAAAGACTTCAAACATACAACACAAAATATGAATGCCTTCTACTTTTATATTATATTGGTCAATGTCTTTTGTGATCCGAATCTTGAGACCATATCTCATTTGAAGCACCATTGAAAGTGTGGGAGAAACAGGATGATCTTCCACCACATGAACTTGATAGTTACACAAGATAGCAGAAGCCATAATCTTCATTTGAATGAAAGACAAGTCCTTACCCAAGCATGTTCTAGGGCCTGCAATGAAAGTACTAAATTTGTATGATGGCATGTGAATAATACCTCCTCTCTTTGAGATCCATCTTTCTGGTTTGAATTCCAAGCAATCTTTTCCCCATATTTCTTCACACCTTCCCATGGCATACAAAGATATCATTATCATAGTAATAGGACTGACCTCATGCCCACTAGGAAGAATATCATGTTTGATCGTTTGCCTAATAACTGAAGGTACGGGAGGGTACAGTCTCAAACCTTCACACAAATCAGCATGGAGATATACTTCATCTTTCACTTCCTTTTCTTCTTTGATCTCTTCATGAATCTTTGCTTCTACTGAAGGGTGTGTAGCAACAAGCCAAAAGAACCACGTGAGAGCTGAAGTTATGGTATCTCCACCTGCGAAAAGAAGACTAAAAGCGGTGTATCTCAGAAGCTTGTCATCCGCTTCATCTTTTCCTTCGTCCCCCCTCATCAAACATGCTAGCAAATCATCGGCTTCCTTCTCATTTCCGTTGATTTTTCGTAGCTTTTCTCTCTTTGATGCTATACTTTCATAGAGGAATCGATCAAACACTTCACATGCTCGGGCCATCTTCATCTCTGGTCCGATTCCAAGCCATCTCTGAAGCTTCCACACGCTTTTAGGTATTGTGTGTCTGTAAAATGTGAACTCTTCCACTTCATCAAAGGCTCTCATGCATGCAACTTCTTGGAAATCTAGTGTGAGGCTTTTGGATCAAATCCTAAGACTATAGAGCAGACAGCGTCAAAGTTGAAGCGACCAAACACGTCTTGCAGATCCAATTCAACTCCTCGCTTCTCGACTTGATCAAGAAGAGGAATCAAACAACTCTCCACCTTCTCTCGAACAATCTTCTCCCAAAACTTCTCGAAGCATTTTGTTTTGAAAACTGAATGCTGAAGTGCCCTGTAGTGTTTCCATGCATCTGAATCTACAGTAAAAATAGAATCACCAAGCATCCAGAACCTCGCGAAGGTCATCCTTTAATGTAGTTGGCGAAATTCTTGCTCATAATGCGATGTACGTTCATGGGGTCATATGTCACCCAATAGTTCATTCCAGTAACCGGGGTCCGAGGAAATTACCAGTGCCTCCTTTTCTTTGCAGAACATCAGTTGTGTAGTCATAAGTCTGCCCTAAATTTTTGAGAAATGATGGCAGCATTCCTAATAGAGGCCAATCTGGAAAGAGCAGGTCTCGGCAATATCGGCTTCGATGGAAATGAAAAAAACGAGAAAGAGAAATGCCGCAAAACTAGCAATTAGCTGCAGACAACCAAGCATTTTTGGTTTGTACGCAAACGGAGAGCTTTGCTTCTATAGATCATATGATGTGATGTACAATTGCATATATAGCCAATAAATAGAGAAGGAGAATAATGTTCAAGTAGTGCTCCTATAAGCCAATGCCGTTCAGTCCTGCAGGTTACTGATATTTTGGTTTACATTAATATTGGACAGTGAGGCAGTATTGGACTGTTAGGTTGTACTAGGCCAGCAGAGAAAATAGGGTTGAGGGAAAATGAGGAGAGAGAAAAGGCAAAAAAGAGAGATGTGATTTTCTCTCTATGCTTGATTTTTTTTTTTTTAAACTCTGGCTAGCTCTCATTATGTTTGACTGAGCCAGTGAAATAAGAAAAAGGTTTTAACTCAAATAGTTAATAATAACTTTATTATTTATAAACAAATTTTTATATATACATAATAAAATTTAATATTTAACATATTATTTATATAATTTTTCTTATATATCCTAATGATATAAAAAATATAATTGTAAATTATTTTATCTAATTTTATTTTATGCTTAGAATTATTAAACATACAATAATCTAAAAATTTTAAACTACAATCAAAATATATGGAGGGAGGCATATATATAGAGGCGGGAAACCAAAAAAAAAAAATTGTCGATAAATTTGAAAGTGGGGTTTTCCATTCAAAATCTTCCCTTTTTTGAAAGAAAAGTTTAGCAAAATTATTTGAGTCCTACGTTTTTTTTTAATTCATTTCTCTCTCTTCCCCCTTCATGTTCCTTTCCCTCATTTTTCTTTCTGCCTGCTTTTCTTTCTTGCCAAATCAAAGCATTAGTTTCTTTCCATTTTCTTTCTTTCTTTTTTTTTTTTTGCAGGCATTTAATTTGGTTATAACATCGATGGTTGACATTTTACACATTTTGAAGAAAAAAAAAGACTTTTAAAAACTTTCCAATTAATTTAGTTGCAGTCAAAAGCAAATCAACAATTGGACCAGAGAAAAAGTGATTGCATTGCAAGGATGCAGTTGAACAAATGGAGCAAGTTCAAATTGACGTAACATAAACCTATTAGTCTGAAAGCACCATGCAGAACAACAAAAGTTCACAACCCACCTAATTGACACTAACATGTAAAATCTCCTTGTACTTCATTAGAACCCTATAGTAACAACAAAGTGTGTGTTAAACTAATAGTAGAAGTAGAGACTATAACAATTAAGAAGTTGTGACCTTTTAAATAGGAGCTTCCCAATCCATGTATACCATGAAGTTATAAAGGTTGTATATAATCCATGTATACCTATTTTGTTATCCGTGAAACCTACTTTTTATACTTACAAAGAAAAAAAATTTAGAATTTTAGAAAAAGACTATATAATCCAAAGTGCACCAAAAAGACTAAATAAACCCAACGATATTCTGTTGGTGTGAATGGACAAGGACCATCGCAATGACTAGGCTAAATCGCACTCCAAAATCATGTGAATGTAAAATAATATAAATGTAAGGAAAATGCCCAATATATAGGTCAATTTAATTTGTTAAGACAATTTTTTTTTTGTTGGGTATCATGGACCAATTCATGGAGATATATAGTCTTTGCTTATGTTGCTATATTTTAATAATTTGGACCATTTATATTTTATCTAAATGATCCTGATTTCACAATATATTTTTTACATTTTAAATCTTTTTTAATCTAGGAATTTTGGCGGGCATTCCAAGTCAATCTATGATGTCTTGATCATTGCAATACATTCCTTCCATTTTTATTTGTAGGGGAAACTATTATTTTTTACTTTTTTTTATATAAACAAAATCATATATTTCAATAAACATTTATTGCACATTTTCTAATCATCTCTCATATTTACATTAATAAAAAATATTAATTAATGCTTTTGTTAATTAACATAAGATATTTTAGTCTAATTGTTTTATCTTCAGACATAGTTATTATGGCTAATCAACTTTCTTAAACTGTGTGATGCAGTTTTTTTCTTTTATATATAGAAATGGAGAGTATCACTACAAAAAAATTGACTTTCAACGGCGACAAATGTCGCCACTGAAAGTCAAAAAGTCACCGTTGAAAGTTTTTAGCGCGACAAAAAGTCGCCACAATATCACCGCGAGAGCTTCTGTCACTGATTCAATCTGCGGTGATAAAAAAAAGTCGCTGCTGAAAGTTGAGAATCTGTGGCGACATTTGTCTCCACCGAAAGTCAAAAAGTCACCACTGAAAGTTTTTAGCGGCAGTAAAAAGTCGCCACAATGTCGCTGCGAGAGCTCTTGTCGCTGATTCAATTTGCGACGATAATAAAAGTAGCCGCTAAAAGTTGAAAATCAGCGTGACAATTGTCGTAGCAGAAACCACGCATCAGTGGTGACTATTTCTGTCGCCGCTGAATGTTAAGTATCAGTGGTGATAGTTATCGTTGCTGAAGCTACTAAAAAGTTGTCGCTAAAAAGTAATATGGTTTACACACATGGCACCACATCACTACCATGTGGCGCTCCACCTCACGCCACATATTGCTTTCACCTCACGCCATGTGGCACCATGTCACCCTCCACGTAAAGCCCCACTCGCACCACGTGTCGCCATGTTATCTTCCACGTGTTGCCCTCACCTCACGTCATGTGGCACCATGTCACTCTCCATGTGTCACCCTTCACCTTACACCACGTGGTCCCAGTGCACTCGCTATGTGTCGCTCTCACCACACGCCACGTATCATCATAGCATCAATTTATATTTTCATTTTAAAAGTTATCTCCTCCAAGATTTAAACCCATGACCTCCTCCTGTTGTGTCCAACCATTTTGCCATTAAGCTGGAATGAACCTGTAGGTCTATTATTGCATAATTAAATACACACACACACATTAGGAAACTAGACAAACACACATATATATTAAAGATAAATACTGTAAAATATCATTACTATCCTTAAAACTTCAATTTAATTCTTTCAATTTATAAAATTATAAATTATATTTCTATTTGTTTAAAGTAAACTATAAATATAATTGATACAATATAATTGTATTATTTATTTTAATTTTTTTACTTCTTGAGGTTGTTATATTTTTATTTTAATATTCATATTTATAATTATAATAAAAAATATCTAAGAATAAATAGTAAAAATATTGATGATTATACATTAGTAAAAAAAATTATAAAAATGCAGACAATGAACAACACATAAAAAGTCACCGCTGAAAGTCGACTTTCAGTGGCGACTTATATGTCGCCGCTAAAACTTGCAACATAATTTTTTTAAAAGAAATAAAAAAAAATGCTGACAATCGACTTTCAGCGGCGACTTTAAAGTGCCACTGCTAAAACTTGCAACATTTAATTTTTTAAAAGAAATAAAAAAAATGCTGACAATCAGCGGCGACACTAAAAAGTCATCACTGAAAGTCGACTTTCAGCGGCGACTTGTTTGTCACCATGAAACTTGCCAACATAATTTTTTTAAAAGAAATAAAAAAATGTTGGCAATCAGCGGCGATACTAAAAAGTTGCCGTTGAAAGTTGACTTTCAGTGGCGACTTTTTAGTGTCGCTGCTAAAACTTGCAACATAATTTTTTTAAAAAAATTATAAAAATGGCCAAATCTTTCACATTTATAACAAAACTATTTCTATTTATATTTTTTAAAATTATCTTTTTTAAAGGTTTTATAATATTAATCATTTGTCCTATGTTAAAATAGAAATTTATTGTTCTTTGTTATAACTACTAAAATAATAGCAGAAGAAAATATAGAAAATGAAATAGATAACACCCCTTTTGAAATAAATCAACAAAGATACATGAACATAATCACATATAACTAAAAAAAAAATGATATTGCCAAGTAAGTTTAGTAACAAATAGAGAATATTCAAGAAATATGATATTCAAAAATCCTGTGAAAGAATAGGAAAGTTAGGTAGTGGTGTTCCTATTAAGCCTAAGAAAAATAATATCAATAGAAAATATAACTTGTAGAAATAGAAATATGAGATGGTTTGATAAGAATTAGGATCTAAGTCAAAAAAGAAGAATAAGGTAAGTCTTAACAGTCTTAGTCTATAGCCAAATAGGAATAGTGAACCTGAAAGAAAAGTAAAAGTGGTAGAAATAAAGAAATACATTATAAAAGAATTGAATAACAAATAGAAATCTCAAAAATAAAAAATAAATTAAATTAAATAGGAGAAAATTTTGAAAGAGATATTGTGTAGAATATCCAAATTCTTTTTGAATAGAAAAAGATACAAGAAAATATGGGTGAAAAACAAATGGACAAACGAAGAAAAAGAAAAAGGCAAAAGAAAAAAAAGAGTTGAATCTTGTCAAAAAATAATTTAAGCACAAAAAAAATAATTAAGTGAAGCAAATCAAAAGAGCTAATTTAACCATGATTTTTCTAAACTTCTATAAAATCAGAAGACTTTTGATTTTGTAGGCATTGAGTTAAAGACCGCTTCTCTATCTTTAATATAATCCTCTCTTCACTTGTAATATTACAAGATATGTATGTGTATCTATGCATGCATACATACATACATACATAAAACTCGGTTAATAAATGGAAATGAAAATAAATTAAAATTTAAATAAAAAGAACATCATGAAATTGGTAAAACAAAAATATATTTTTTCCTATGAAAAATACTTTAATCAAATTTG